GGACTTACGCTCTACAAATACTCGCACTATAAAAACACGATACACAAGTCAATAAAAAACTCACCTTGTAGTGATCACTAATTAACGGGGTTACATAATTCAATCAAGGAACTACAGGTTGGGGGTATTGTTCCGCACGGACACAAATGTTGACTGTACCTCCTGTGTACTTACTGCGTGTCCTCCCTTTCGCTTTCTCTTCTCTTCTCGGGCTGCGACCCGACAGCATGTCCATTTCTGCTGCTCATTAAAGCCAGATTTGCACCTTCGATGCACCGCCTCCGACTCCCTTCTCTCGGCACTACAACCTTATGATTTTCATGGCTTTATCCTAGCTAACACCGGTGAATGATAATGTTTACAAATGCACAGCTGTATTTACGTTGCTCGTTGTAACGGCAAATGTGAACTCAGCTTTTTGCAAACAATGCGTCTTGTGATAACCTGTAACTATGACGAACATTTGATGACATTAAATAACTTGTAATAACTTTTACCTTGTAGAGATCTCCTCGGAACAGGACCAGCTTACTCAACATTTTCAAATAAAGATCTTTTGCAATTTTTCTGCTTTTCATCTTGTCTATTAAAGTGCCATATTGTTCAAGTTCAATTACGAAACTATTAAAGTACGGTTTTGAGTCCGACCATTTTGATTTGTGAATAAAATATCTGTTAATAATAATTAGAAGCTGAGTAATCGGCTGCAGAGCAAGCTGCTGACGTATGTGCTCAGTGGGCGGAGTTACAGAGATAAACATAACTTTTTTCTTTTTTCTTAACATGATTGAGACTTATAGAACGTACACCCCTCAAGATTAAAATAGTTTTACATGATTGATTGATGTTTCGATGAGAAATATGAATACATTCTGTCTCATATATTAACTGCATATTTGCAAATTGAACAACCCCACTTCTCCCTTTTTTTCAGTGCACGGATCTGTTCTCTGCCAACACTTTTAGTCTTTTTCTTACAAGAGGAAAAATAGTAAATACTCTTGAGATTCTTGCGTTCTGCCTATGGAGATTGCAATGGAATATTGCTTGATTCACAGTCAACGTCCAAAGTTTGGTTACTCTGATACAACATTTCTAATTTCTCTGACTTTTGATTGACATACGACAAGTCTACCATGTCCGTCAAACACCAAGATTTTAAGTGTAGTAATGTTCTATGATTTTATGACAGTGTTAAATCAATTGCTGTAAGTGCGTGCTGCACTTTAGGCGTAACAACATCGAGGAATGTGGGCTGGAGGTGTTTTGCTATCCAATAAGAAAATCTTTATGAATTCTTTACATATTATCTCACTCCAAGGACATCATTCCTTATTATCTGTGCGACACACCTTGAGTCGTCAAGTATAATAAGAACAACCTAACAATTCACACAGTGTCAAGTCGTGTTACTCGGTAGAACCTGAGGCTAAACAATGAAGTAGAAAGTTTTACTCTAGGCATATTTGCAGTGTTTCTGACTGTGTGTGTGTGTGTGTGTGTGTGTGTGTGTTGTGTGTGTGTGTGTGTGTGTGTGTGTGTGTGTGTGTGTGTGTGTGTGTGTGTGTGAGAGAGTGTGCCTCTGTCTCCCCCCACAGGCTGGTAGCAGCAGACTCAACGAGGTCCTTCCTCGGCAGTACCTGCAGTACTTTGATGCTTAAGATCTCGAGGTATGAATAAACTATCAGTATACTTCTATCATTACAGTGGGACAGTGCCTGTGTAATTCAAACTTAAAATCTTCTTTTAGGTAATTTTTGTTGATCTAGGGTTTCAACAATCACTTTGAGCCTTGTTTCCAGGGTGATTTCTTGCTATATAAATACAATTCTCTCACCTTAGAAAGCTTTATCGAGTATTGTGTCTGAGCGGGCCAAAAACGTTCAACTTAACATCTATTAATTTGCCTACAACGGCCTCGGATGTTTATGGAAACTTAGTGAGGACTAAGGAAACTGGACCCACGCTGCATTATATATCAACCTTACCCTGTTGCTTCAACAAACACACACACACACTCCTATTCATCTCCGTCTGTGATACACACACACATGCAAACACAATTTAAACATCTACACAAGCATCTGTAACACTCTTATCCTTTACTCTCACGCACATGCTCGTTTACAAAGTGTATCTGCTAATTCATTTGAAAACTAAAAAATCCAGTTTTTAGCATTCACCTCAATTTTTGCCCAAACAGTTGTCATGTGAGCCCTATGCAGTTCTTTAGGAGTTATTTTTTCTTCATTCAGATCCATGAACAGTTCCTGCTTCCATGATTAATAGAGGCAGTATTTGAGTCAACGGTCTTGAAAACAAATGAGGTTAAAAATGCCCTTTAAGGAGTCATTTTGGTATTTGTTTTACATTTTTTGAATTCAGGAAGTGAGGGTTATTAACGTCTTGACAATATCCAACAATTAGTTCCATGAATATTTCGTTATTTGCTCTGTTGCCCTCCCAGTCTTGTAATACTTAGTGCTATTTGCTTCTTTTTTCCAACTAATACCTTGGGCTTCAGGAAAATAATAACAGTGCTTTCGCAATCCTTAAAAACTCTAATATTGAATTGTTTTAAATGTAGGCCTTTAAAAGTCTAAACCGGTGTGGTTGAACTGGCCCTTTATGACAGGACGCTGGATGTCATTGGATGTTCAAGATGAAACATACAGTCAATGACATACACATACATGGGTGTGATATTGTCTCTAAAAGGTAAAGTATGCAACAATTCCATAAAAAAACTATGCATGGAAAATAAAGATAATCCCTCTTAATCATCACTAGACCCACTATAGTGTGTGGTGTCTGTGTGTGCATAGACCCTGCAGCCCATGCCTCTATTTACTCTCTTCTATTTATTTGTCTGACTTCAGGAAGTTTTGGGCATCACAAAAAGCCTTTTAGAACCCCACGTGTGATAGTAACCCCCAGCTACTGTGCAGGGTGTGGTGTGAACACAACGTGGGTGCTTTCTGGTTTAAAACTATCAATGACAATTGTGTGTAATTCAACATGGCTTTGATACTCATTTTTATTGGAAGTGTTATGCCAATTGAGCAAACTCCTGCTGATGAAGACCAAGTGAGACATTTTGAAAGCTCCGGAAAAATAAAGTAAGTGGACCTTGAGTTGATATTGGTTTGCCAAATGGTTTCCTGTATAAAAAGTGTAGATATAGCTTTCAAATAATTTGATTTTAAAATATTTTTTTGTTAAATACTGTTTCACACTGATTTCCTCTTTCCCTGGCTCAGTGCTCCCTTAATGTCCTTCCTGTCCTGATGTCCTTGTATCAAAGTGTCACATCATTGTTTGTAGTCTAAAGCCTTACTCACACATGTGTTGTCAAACTGGTCAGTGGAAAGTTGTGACATGCATCAGGAAGGACAAATCAAAACGCCATGTTGATCTTTATTATAATGGAAAGTTGGTAATGAATGGAAATCACCAACAAGACATGCTTTATAAAAAAACTGTATATTGAAGCATGTCAGATGATCTAATTTATTTTTGAAATGTATGGGAAACTACTGAGTAAATATTATCTCTCTATTTCGGGAACTACATTTTAGGCTTCAATATATCACAAAGGTTTATGGGTTATGTTTTTGTCAGGTATACAGTACCTGCAGTTGGAGTTGCTTTGGAAACATTCAGAGCCAGCACCTTCAAACGGCTGTGTATCTAATTATAGATAACAGTTTTTACTTTTGCAGAAATACTTTTTTTCCTCTTGGGTTTTTGTTGCTGGGTGACCTTGAAACCTCAACTAAAGTCTCTTGCATGCACCGTTTACCTTGGTAATACAAACGTAACAACATTGGAGCGAGCATGTGAGTATTATGCAGAAACACACTTTTACATATCCACAATGGACCAAACAATATTGAAGATAGATAAAACCAACATCAGTGTCAAGCATTTCTTATTTTCAATAAAGAGTTTTATACACCTTGTGGGTTAGGTTGTAGATTGTTGAAGTCTAATCCATGTTATGAAGGGGCAAAGTCCAGCACAGGATAGGGAAGGTTACACCCTAACCCTAACCCTAACCCACGTTGGAACCCACTAAACCACAAAGAAGTAGTGGTAAAAACAGGTAAAGCATGTATCCATTTATATACATTCATTGGTAAACTGAACTAAATGGGTTGGGGTTATCAGGTTGAAAACAAAAAGATAATAGTTTTTTTTCTGGGGAAATCCGATTGAAATAATCGTGCAATATTTGTAATATGTAAATGATCAAGCATGATTAGTTGGCAAAACATTTTCCTAGCAATGATTGTGCCGACCATTCCAGCATCAAGCAAGCCAGTAAAAAGGACTTTTCCTCGGCTGGATTTGTGATTCAATATCGGAGACGCTGCTCAAACCAGGGTCAAAAATAAAGAACCTAAAAGTGAGTGTCGCCCCAGAGAGGAAGCAATAGTTGCAACGCTTTCTTCTACAAAGTAAAACGTATTTTGTCCTGGATTAAGTTGCTGTTTAAAACACTTGTGAATTGGAACTTAAATAAAACAGAAACACAACAAATCTACTTAGGTTAGGTTTAAAACAATTATGATTGTTTGGCAATGTTTGTCTAGTTATGATCGTACAATGTTGACTCTGTTTTCACACAGGACACAGCAATCCCATGATCGAGAGTCCTGTGTTTGTGGAATTTATTAAACTGACTTGACAATGTTGTACAGTATGGGGTTTCCTTTAGTTCCTTATTATCTTCTTTCAGTCTTGCAGACATTCATACACCTGCAATGCCTGTGCAAAGGTGTCTGCTCCAGTACTGGAGCAAGATGTGCAACTTACATTATCTCGAGTAAAGATCTCATGCTCTATGGTTTCATGGGGAGATAGTTCCTGACACTTTAATTACTTTGCATGAGTCACGTGAAGCGTTTGTTTTACCATCAACAGCCACCCCTATGCTGGTGGGAATTTCAGGTAGCAAAGACAAAAGGAATGCTGTACTGCACACATTGTGGATACACCTCCTGCTATTCTGGTAAACTGTTATTGCCTGCTGACTTCCTTGTTTGCTCTGTATACTGCCTGTTGTCACTGTAGACTCACCGGGTGGAAAGCAGAAACAAAGTAAAGAAAATAGTCTCATGACAAGAGGTGGAGGTGGGGTTGGACAGAGATAAGAGACGGAAACCATGTCTTTGTCCAAGCCAGAGGAGCAGCTAGCCTACGAGCTAAGCTGCCCCATCTGCCTTCAGCTCTTCTCCGATCCCTTGGTTCTCCCCTGTGGACACAACTACTGCCGATCCTGTATCGGAAAGAGCGTCGACATCAAGGACCAAACACCTCCACGGTGTCCAGAGTGCCGCGAGGAGTACCAAGGGTTTGAATCCCTGCAGAGGAACTTCAAACTCTGCAGCATCATCGAGGGTTACCGAGCCACCGCTCCACAGCTGGACTGGCAGCCTGACACTGTGGGGGGGGAGGTTTTCTGCGACCACTGCATAGACGAGCAGTTGGCGGCCGTGAAGACGTGCCTGAAGTGCGAGGTGTCGCTGTGTTCCAGACACCTTCAGAGGCACAACGAGAAGGAGGCGTTCAGGGCCCACGCCGTGGTGGAGCCCCTGAAGGAGCTGGGGATGAAGGCCTGTGCCACTCACCGGCGTCCCTTTGAGTATTTTTGCTCCAACGACATGACCTTGATGTGCAGCACGTGCTTCATAGAGGGACACCACTACGACCACGATGTTCTCACCTTCAGCGCCGCAGACCAGGAGATGAGGGCGGCGCTGGAGAGCCGCAGCAAGGTAGTGCTTTCATTTATGTTTACTAGAGGAGAGATATTTGTTCCTTTTTTTATCGTAGCATCAGTCTTGCAAACATTGAGAAAACTGGGACTTTGGGATAGAGTAAAAAACAGGGTAAAGTCAAATACATTTACCCTAAATGTGTTTTTTACGATCACATTTTTTTCTAGAAAGTACTTATTGTATGTAAATTGAAGAAACAATGGATTGGTAATGCAGCGATTATTTTTGGTAATAAAGTGAAGATCAACTGAATGTGGGAACTTGTGAAGTTTGTCTACAGGCAAGTACACAATTTGACAAACATGAACAAAAACGTTTCTGATAATAAATGAATATTGAATTGACTGTTCTTTTTAAAATAAATTCCTGTTTTTCCTTTAATAGACACTTCACGTTTGGCCTCATGCATGAAATGTTTTCTGTTTATTTTTAGATATATTGAGAAATAATAAACCTGAACTCTTACTACTTTTAAATCCAGGCTGAAGACTTTTCTTTTTGCCGCTGCTTTTAATTGAACTATTCATATCTTAAACTGCACTGTAACTTTTATCCATGTATTTTTTTCTTTTAATGCTTATTATATTATCTTTGCTTTTTAATGACTGTTTTTAAATGCCATTTTCTTAATATCTTTCATTTTTGTAAAGCACTTTGAATTGCCTTGTGTTGAAAGGTGCTATATAAATAAACTTCCCTTCCCTTGCCTTGTCTTGCCTTGCCTTGCCTTGCCTTGCCTTGCCTTGCCTTGCCTTGCCTTGCCTTGCCTTGCCTTGCCTTGCCTTGCCTTGCCTTGCCTTGCCTTGCCTTGAACAATAAATTGCTACCAAACAGAAAACACTAGAGATGGCACAATGGAATGAGACATCAGAGGTTTGAATAAAGTGGCTAGCGGCCATCTGGCTCACTGTCATGGCGCATTACAGGAGTATTGAATGATAAGAATGCAAAAGTTGTCCGGCTGACGAGAAACACCCAATGACTTCTGACAGGGTTGACTTGAGTTTTCCATTCCAGATGACTTGCAATTAATAAGATTACATCTGTGCCAGGAAGAAGTGCAAAATCATTTCACCGAAATGGCACGTACACATGACTAGGCATCTCTTTTTGCTTGCAATATGGAAAATACAAAGTGCTAAACAGGCAACATGTGTGCAGGTGGTTTCCTTCAGGCTGCAGATCACAGAGAGTGTCCTGCAAAAGACAGCAGAGGAGCAAGGAGCGTCTGAAGCCATCGGAGACAAACTGGTGAACAAGGCGGTCACCATCATGGACAGTATGGCTGCACTGGTGGACAGGTAACATACTGTAGTATTAAGTATAAGGAAAAACAGCCATACATTTGTTCTTAATTGCTCCAAAGTCTTTAAATAAAAAAGTGTCTAACAGTACAACTTCAACATTTTTAGATCACATGAAGGATCATACTTTCATTAAAAGTCAATGTCAGGATTTGTGCGGGGAAAAAAGTATTCTATATTAAACATTTTCTACATTCCATATGTGTGCATTTAACTTGCTATAAGTTTATTGATGCCCAATACTTGATTGTATTTAGTTTCCGAGATAAAGCCTTGTTTTCATCATTCTATATTCTTTGGTCAAATGGGACTACTTTTTCTTAAAATATAATATTTGTTTAAAAATATATATTTTTCCCTCCCCTCACTGGTTGAAGTGGGCGCAGTTTAGCTGCACAATGGTAACGTCACATCATTTCACGACCAATCAGGATTTATCTCCATTTAAATCAGAATCTGATGAATGCTGTTGGGTTGTATGTTTATCTTTCTTGACCACTGCCAATCAAATCACATTAAACCACACCCTAAGTCACGATGAAGCAGATTAGCTATGAGTTTCACCATGGTAACCTAAAAGATAAAACAAAAGTCTAAAACTAAGCTTTTGTCCAATCACAACAGAGCCGGCCAGCTAACCAATCAGAGCAGACTGGGCTCTGGTTTCAGACAGGGTGAAAAGAGGTGCTGCAGCACAGGCAGTATGAGAAAAATAAAGACAACTCTTTTTGAACATTAAAGCATGGAGACATGTCACAGTAGAGTCACAAAATACAAATAGGAACCTGAAATAAGCTTAAAAGGCCCTTTCAAATTAATATGAAAGCGTTTAACTGTAGAACCATTGTAACAAAATGTGTGGACACTGAAGCAGAAATGTACAATAACATAGGAAAACCACGCCTGCACTGTTACTAACAGGTTATATGATTAATGTGATAAGTCAGTCTGAGTACAATTGACAGAAGCACATACCGTGAAAAGGATTACCAGAAGCAGATTTTCTTTCAGGCCTGAACAGTCACTTAATGCGATGGATCCAGTTTGTCAGCATTTTGAGACTGCCTGGAAACATTGTCAAGTGTCATATGCTCTTTAAGATCACCTTTCAACTTTCACTGTGAGACTGATTCCATTGAGTCAGTAATTTAAAGTTTCAATGTATTACTTAGTTTTATGAGAGAAAACATTAAAACGTGCTGTCCTTGCACATAGACATACTGTTAAAAAAGGCTCTTCAAAGCTGAAGTAATACACAAACAATGCCATAATATGAGTAGTATATAGTCTGGTGGGAATGATGATGTTCCCAGTTTACCATGATTTTGATGTACTGCTGCTGTGTTGTGTTCAGGTACAGGGAGCGCCTGCATGTGCTGCTGGAGGAGGAGAGGAGCATGCGCAGACAGAGCTGGCAGTATGGACTCAATGCACTGGAGGAGCAGCAGCAGCAGTTAGTGGAGGTCCAGAGAAACGCTGAAGAGGTCCTCAGTGAGACAGACCCATGCGTCTTCATACACAGGTAAGAATATATTGCTAAAACAAAAAAATGAAGGAAAAAAAAAGTAATATATGAGTCCAAAATCATGTGAAAGAAATAGTTCCTAATAATATTGGAAAACATGTTTTCACTGATGAATTGACAGCATGTATATTTGTCTATTTACAAAGGTGCATACATGTGCCATTAAACTTGATTTCATTAACAATATAAGCTTTACAAACTACGGAAGCCCTGAGTGAAAATTGAGAAAAGAAGTCTGATCTCAAAATTACTCTTCTGTGCTTATGATTTAAGAATTATATTTAGAAAAAGGTTTTGGTAGCAGCTTCTGATAAAAAATGTTTTTGTTTATCTGTGAAACTGGAGTTAAATGAAGGCGTTGCAAGGGGGCCATACATAAAGTTTTGCCAGGAATATCTTTCTAAGCTAAATTTTTCCAAGCTTTGTACTCAAAGCTTTCATGTTTTCTTTCAGGTAAGTTTTAGTACTCGATGCGAGTATTGAAAAATGACTGTCATGTCTTTATTTAGAAAATAGGATAGTGATGCATTTCAGCCTCTAGTGGCCATAATTAGTATTACAGTAACAAACACTTAAAAACTGTATAATAAAAAAATAATATTTCATAGATTATCCATACAAAATGCACCACTTCTGAAGTCATAGGCACAGGAAATAAAGAAAAATCAATTGGATTTATGAATCAACATAATTTGTTTTCTTCCTCACTTGCCTCTCAGGGCTTCGTTGACATTAGATAATGTTAAATTTAAAAGTGTGCCGGATAACTACGTGAGCTAGTAGCTATTACTACTTTATATGAGTCTAGCAGATAAGTCCTCACATGGTTCTGCCTACATGAGTAAAGACATGTGATGCCAGAACCAAAGCATGTGAATAAATGGTCACATGGTAAAAATCCTCAACTGAGAGAACTCTTCTGCTCTCCAGGTTCATGCAGATTGAGAATAAGCTGAAAGAGGTCTCCACAGGCAACTTTCCCTCCGTGGTCCCCTTGAAGGCTCCGCTGAACACCAAGCGTCTGCAGGCAGGCCTCAAAACCCAAGACTTCCGCTCCGAAATGATCCCCCTCCTGAACTCCCTCCATATCCTCCTGAACCCCCTGGACCTCACCTTCAACCTCTGCACCGCCCACCAGAACCTGATAGTGTCCAATGATCTGCGCACGGTCAAGTACAGCCCCAGCAAGCAGTCGTACGCAGAGCACCCAGAGCGTTTCACAAGCGCACCCCAGATTCTGTGCAGCCAGGGGTTCTCCAGTGGGGAGCACATATGGGTGGTGGAAGTGGGGCCCGGCAGCATGTGGTCCATGGGCGTGTGTTACAAGAGCATCCTTCGCCGTGGTGACCACAGCCGCCTAGGACACAACTCTGTTTCCTGGCGGCTTCAGTGGAAAAACAACAAGCTGACGGTGTGCCAGTCCTCCTGCAACGTGGCTCTGGGGGAAATGACCAATCACCCGCTCAGGATTGAGATAGCACTGGACTATGAGGCTGGGACTTTAATATTCCATAACACCAAAGGGCACAGGGAGCACCTGCACACCTTCAGGGTTGTGTTCAGGGAGCCCGTTTACCCAGCGTTCAGTATCCATTCAAACACACAAGAGTCCTGGATCACACTGCACAGTGGGATGTAAACACAACTTCTGTTGTTTGCTTTTTTACATGCTTAGAATTGATTTGGGTGTTAAGCATTGTTTTGTATTTGTACTGCTCCCTGTCAAATGTCTGTAATAAAATACATGTTTAACAAATGCCATATTTGTATGGAATCGATCCTAAATAGTGCATTTATGTGTCTTAAGTAAGAACAAAATGACCTCAGTCAGACATTAGCTTGTTGTTGTTTACAAAACATTTTTTGTTAATGATAAGAGTGATTTTTGTAGAGTACATTAATGTTTTTCATACATGAATTTGCTTAGTGGGATTTTCTTCGTTTAGTTTTTTGTCATTTTCTTAAATTTCAATTTTTAGTGTGTCTATGAAGTTACCTTCATTTCTTTTGAATTGTGTGTTATCTGTTTGTGATCTTTATTTCGTGTAAACATTGATGTGCGTGGACACCGACCTTTAGGATGAATATGAGACACATATTTGTGTTTATGCAACAAATAAACTCTTGTGATAATGTCTGTGCATCAACATCTATATATGTAGGCCTATGTCTGTATGGCACGCGCGCCGGATTCATTTTAGAAGTGGGGGGGCCAAAAAAGTGCGTGTGTATGACCCAATCCCAAACCACGCCCTACACACTCCCCCTCCGTGACGAAGTGAACTCCGTGGAGTGACACATGAGGCTCCCTCCTGTCAGATGGAGGGAGACAGCGGCAAGCTTTGGGACAAACTCCCCTCTCTCCGGCAGAAACAGGAAATGCCGTAACTGTATGTAACAACGGTTTCAAATCAGCATCTCTTTGACAAAAAATGTAAATTAATAACTCAAATAAAACTCCAAACATCTTTAATTGTGTTACTTTTTTGTAAAGCTCTTTTAGTTTTAAACCTGATGTTTATAAGCTTCTTAGTTTTTGCAACAGTCTGTAAATATACACAACTTTATAATAAAATGCACACATTTACATTTTTCTAGACTAAACACAGGTAGCCTATGATCCTAAGTTAAAAACATATGAGGTTATCATGAGGTTGTTAACATCGCAGTTTATCAGTGGGCTATCAAGAGCCAATCATATTGCATACTATACCATACAGTGTATGGTACAGTATGCAATATGATTGGCTCTTGACAGTTCGATTAAATTCAAATAGCTTTATTAGCATGGCCATATTGACATACAGCATTGTCAAAGATATGTACAGTTGCAACATCCATGCACAAATACACATTTGAAACGTACTGCTTAATTCATAAATATATGCATTCATTCAAGAGTTTTAGTCACTGAAATAAAGTTAATACATCGGGGTTGCCAGGTTGGGCTATTAAACGGTAATTTAGAGTATTTTAACCGTTTAAACTTTAATTTAACAAACCTATCATGATGATTTGTATTAATAACATACCATTTTCCAGTCACTGGCTCGATTTTATTATTAAAAACAAATAAAAAAATAATGCTCCGTGTTTCACGCGTCTTTGAAAGGGGGATGGTGTAAATTGAACCTGGCAACCTGCATTTAATCTGTCACACATTTTGTCATTGGGCAGGACAACATCAATTCATGTTAGTAACAATATTCTACGCAAGGTCACCTAACAGCAGAAGGCATGGGCTCAGGAGAGAGTACGACCCGGAAAGTGTCTTTCGGTGTCGATGATGAGGACCGAGTCAGGATTCTTCGTGGTGTCAAGGTAAAGCGAATCAAGCTAACGTTTGATAAACCATGCTAACATTACTTTAATCTGACGGCTAGCGCTAACTAGCCGTTAGCTGTTGCTGCACAGCAAATTAAGTTATTTGTTCATTCTGAGTTAAATATACGTTAGGTATACAACCATTAAAGTGACTGCTGATGTGAGGAGGATGTATAGGGATGGAGGGGCTGGGGCAGGTTGATGTATGACCTTAAACAAGCCTTTTTTCCTTACACCAAACGTATATCGTAATATGCCTCAGTTAACGTTGTATCCTGTTTATCGGCAAAATAAGACACTCTGGCATATTACCAGGACCATCTAGGAACCTTCAGGCTCTTCTTGTCAATTCGGCATATACATTACCCATCCAGAAGCAGTTCATTATTATAAATCTTACATTTGTATAATTCCCAAGCAGCTGTCAGCGTTTGCTACCAACGCTAAATATAATACGTTTAGGTAGAAACTAAGCGAACGAATCGTTAATGCTTGCCTATATTCCGTCGAAAAAATGTAATATAATTGCACAATAGAGACATTGCTAAATCAAAAAGAGATTAAAATAGTGTTGTAGTAGCTATGAGTATATTGTTCATAATGTAGGGCGTTTTAAATTGGGATATTTCGAATGAGGTTTGGCGTGCTGCTCTGCCACTGACACTGCTGCCTTCCAGTGCAACTGAAAATGTCGGAATTTTAAATTACTCTATTATTAGACCATTTCCCCCCTTACATCCTCCCCTTCTCACATGTAAGATCATGTTATGTTCTTTTAGGGGTTTCCCAGATTTATGATTTCAAAATGCTATATTTTTTCTTACCGAAATGTTTATAGGTTTTTCCAGTTGTTTTACTGAAAACGACGTGCAACTTTTGGGCTTCTTTCAAAATAAAGATATTAAGCCACAGGCATACAAACTCAAGAAGTGCACAAATACCTGTAGCATGACCGAAGCCATAGCAATTTCTTGCTTTCTAAAAAGTCTATTGGAATTTGTAGGTGTAGTCTCCTAATTTCCTATAAATTTGAAGGCACCGTCACATTCACTGTAGCTATACTGAAATGCAACCTAGTCGAGTTCTACAGCTACTGTAATATAAAAGAAACACCTATGAAACTCAATAAAGTTAGAGCTTTATAGTTGTGTTAGTAACATAAATCATAGTAATAGTTAACATATTTGTAAAACAAGGAAATAACGAGTTTTGCAGATAATCCTATTTACCAGTTTTGCATGCACATTCAAATCCAGTGAGTCATAGGTACAGTGAGTCAGTGCTGCCTACTGTGGTTTTTAAAGAAACAAACCATTTCCTTGGACGGACACACACATTCAAATGTAAAGTACAGTTGCAGCTTTTATGCTAATTTGCAGGTTTATGTTTTATGCCAAAAGTGTTGCCAAAGTTACTCTACTTCCCAATGTCTGGCAGACAACGCAGGATTGCCCAACTTTGTGCATGCACAAAGTTGGGCAATCCTGCGTTGTTGATTTTCTGTCTTTATCCATCTTTGATTTTTTTTAAATGCATGGATTCTATCTCTCCCTAGCTGTCAGAAGATGTTCTCCAGAGGATGAGAGGAGTAGCCAACATCGCTCCAGAACGCCCAACCTCACCAACCTCACCAACCTCAAGCCCTCAGAAAGACACAGGTACTGTATCATGCACCTTGCAGCGTTTCATTAGAGATATAGACATTTAAAGTGACATGCTTACCAGGTGAATGTCACTGCACATGTGCACAGTTTATATCCTGAGAAAGCAATACATTACCTGTAGCCTTACCTTTCAATATTCATATACGAAATAGGTCATACTTTATAGGTTGGTTTACTAGTACACATAAGTGAACGCTATTTCACTTTACAATTGATTTTTAATCTGTTAACATTACCGGCTCCTTCAACTTTTTCCTTACAGTTGATTCCTAACCTACATTTCTCCCGCTGTGGGATGAATATATTTGGACTTTATTTCTCGTAATGGAATAATGTTTTCTTTTTAATATTACTACTTTTTTTGCATGAAATATTTTCATTATATTACAACTTTATTGTCAAAATCTTGGAGAACACTTACTGGCAATTTTTTTAATCTGCATAATATGTGAACTTGAGCAGGAATCTTGCTCAAACACATGAGCTATTAAAATATGAGGTTTATTATTAAAATCTATTTATTTATTTAATAGGATAGCCATTAGCTGATTCATACATTAATTATAGGTCTACATGTGTGGTCACTTGGCTGGAATATCATACATATTTAAAAGCATTAGAGGGTGCCTGAGAGCTTTACTGCATTATATCACATTTTTGTATATCTTCAATTGTGATCTTGTGCCTGCATTTTGTGTTTCCCTTTAAGACATTTCTACCATACAATTATGAAGAAAAGGCAGGAATGAGTAAATAAACGGACTGTTTAATGCTTACATTTGACCCCTGTTCTTTGTCCAGGTGCCTCTCGCAGCGCTAGCTCAAGCCCCCCTCCCCAGCAGAGCCCCAAGAAGCAGGCCCAGCCCGGCCCCCAGCCCAGCCCCCAGTCCGGCCCCCAGCCCGGCCCCCAGCCCGGCTCCCAGTCCGGCCCCCAGCCCGGCCCCCAGCCCAGCCCCCAGCCCGGCCCCCAGCCCAGCAGTAGCAAACCTGCCTCCTACGCTAAGGAAGAGCAGAAAAGGTAAACGGTTGACAAGCATTCATTATTTCTTTGTATTTATAGTGACTAATGCTGCATCTTTAATCGTCTATAGTAAATGTAAAGCTCGTCGGTTGGCCACTGGCTGCCTATCCTTGTGCCAACTTTAAAGGGCACGCATACAAACAAAACCCTGGTATGTGTTAAGCCCCCAACAGTGCCTCTTTTCTGCTCTGAAATCATAAAAACGACTCTCGCAACAACTATGCTGCATTGTGACCATCAGAGATATGAGTTGGCTCGTACTTTCTCAGCATCAATATGCAGACTGTTATGAAAGCCTGTTATCAATGGCAACTAAAATTCACCTATGAAGCCACGAGTATTGTAAAAAAAAACATTCAATTTGTACCTTCCCCTCACTAAGCTGCTTATTCCATGTTCCCTTTGTGCGAGTACTTTTTCTTTTTGAGGAGCTCTGGGGCTCATTGCTATATAAAATGGACGCCTATACATACGGCAAATGTAAAGTCATGTCATTGTTCATTATGACTAAGGAAATTAAAGATTAAGTTACATTTTGGTAAAATAGCTGTCAATATCTTAAAACTGGGATAACACAGATTGGTGTTTTTTTTAATTTAACTTTATAAACAGTGAAAATCAGTTAGTGAATGTTCATTTTTTTCATACATTCCCCCTGTAAGTAGGAAGTAGGACAGGCAGTCTGTCAATAGGATCCATAATGTTTCATTGCAACACAAAGACTGAATCTCTTCGCAGGTGAAGCCTGACAAGGAACAATATCTCATGAAATCCCAAACAAGTGCATAACTAATTTACATGTCTGTTGCTTTTTCTTGTTTTGATACCTTTCCGGGTCGTACACTCAAATTGTTTTTAATAGTGTATTGTCAGGCTTGGCGAGTAATGGATTACATGTAACAGGAATATGTAATCAGGATACAAAAACAGGGTAACTATTCCCTTACGGTTACATAAGAAAACACGGAATCAGATGACTGTTACATTTAAAACAATTGGGGATTACTTGCAGGATTACAACGTTAGTAAAAGAGCATATAGTGTTTGTTGTAAAAGGATAACATTTGATCTCTTCTCTGTAAGCTGTACTGCTCTATAGGCTAATACTTTAAGTGTGAATCTATACGCCTACTGCCTGAATCTGCTTTATGGTTTTCATTTTCTTTGGTTAATTTGTTCTTTTTTAATTCAGTAGATGCACCTACGTATATACTCCCATACCAATTGTAATAGTCTGAAAAAGAAGGCCTTGAAGTACTCATCAACACGAGGACAGGAAGCGGTCCTACCCATAAAATAATTTGACATATAAAAATAAAGAATAATCATCAAATTAGCTTAAACAAAAGTTGTGTATCACTGCTGTAGATCAAACTAAATATTAACCAATGAAATCCATATTTAAATGACGGGTTTATAAATCACTCTCTGCTATTTCTTATAACCGCTAATATAACTTATAGTACAGTTTATATTCTCCATGTATTTGACTGGTCTGGTGAAAGTTGGTATATGCTGCCCCCTTGTGGAAATATGTTCCAAGTAATTTAGACAGTAAGGAAGGGATTTAGAAAGCAGAAAGTATGCAATTTATGGAAGCACAGTGTGTGTTAATGTATGGTGTGTGTGTGTTTCTGTGTTTCAGGTATGAACGGCAGCAGGCTGCACTGAAAGCGGAACAGGCCAAAGTGGAGAAAAGAGAGAAAGAATCAGCAAGAGAGGAGATGACCAAAGCCTTGACGCAGAAACGCATGGAAGCTGAGCACGCCCAAAAACTGGTACACACACACACACACACACACACACACACACACACACACACACACACACACACACACACACACACACACACACACACACACACACACACACACACACACCACACACACACACACACACACACACACACACACACACACACACACACACACACACACACACACACACACACATATATGTATACATCACTTCAGGGGACATTACATTGACTTATATGCATTTCCTAGAGACTTAGCTTAACCATAACCAACACATGCCTAACCCTAACCCTTACGCTTAACCTTACCCTTACCCTACCCCTAATCAAGTCTTCCACACACACACACACACACACACACACACACACACACACACACACACACACACACACACACACACACACACACACACACACACACACACACACACCCACTCACTGCTTTTAGAGGACAACTTTAAGGGACTAGTTTCTGCACTAACCATTCACTTTACAAACGGTGGTCCATCAGTACCAGTACCAAAAACACACATACACACACATCAGTTGCACATTTAAAATGCAATGCATGACTTTGCTGACTACATGCAGTGCTGTTTCATGCTTTTGTTTTGGGTGTAAAACTGCGCAGTAAGATGGTCACACGTAGAAATGTAAAAAAAAAGTATTGATGTCATGCAGCCCCAAGTGACATTAATACCGAGCAAGAACACAACATGCGCACACGTTTTCATAGAGCGGGTCAAAAGTCCCTGTCAAAGTTATTATTAATAACAGCCTTGTTGTAAATCAAAAGAGATTCTCTTGAAAACAACGGCATTTGGGGGAGAGCTAAATCATTCGTCATCAAATTATTTATTAATAAAAGAAAATCATGTATTTTTTATCTGTATTCCCTCGACAGAATACAAAAAGTTAAGTCAATACAATCAGTGAACATGCAACTTAGAGGCTTACAATACAGGAAATGCTGATAATACCCCCCCCCCCAAAAAAACATTTCTGATAAACAATAACCAGGAATGTGAAAAAAACTATAATTTTCTCAGCACTTTGTTTTACATGCGGTTTAGTGATAAAGCTGGTTTTCTATGGTTTTATCACACGTTGGAGATAAATTAAGACTTTATTTTACATTTGTATTTTCCGTAGTGATGCTCCTTCTGCCTTCCCCTCCTTTCACCTCCTTCTATCTCCCCCTCTTTTAACCATTTTCCCTCTCCCTCTTTCCCTTGCTGTCCTTCTGTCTTCTCCCCCTCCCCCCACCCTCAATCTCCCTCTTTCCACCCCTGCCTATTACTCTCCTTCCTGCCCTGGAGACGGTATTATCAGTGCAGCGCAAGCGGTAAATTGCACCCTGAGAGTTTCCTGCAGCTGGAGATAGGAGCGGAGGGAGGGGGGTTTAGAGGTATAGACGTGGGGAGGGGAGAGCTTGTTCAACACACCTGACGGCGCCTGTTTCCCGTGACTCTCCCTCCCTCCCCCTCCTCTCCTACCTGCCTTTCCCACCTCCTCTTTGAGACACGCTGTAGTACCTGCCTTATCTCCTCCCAACACACTCCCTCCGCTAATAGAAAGCCGCTGGAGGGACGGCGTGAACACAATGACCGGTCGAGCAGCACCGCCCCCCCCATGCTGAGAGCTGTGTGTAATTACTGTTGCTAGCGCAATGAATACATCACATACATACTCATGATTTGCTCATATTACATTTTTTTCCTTGATGTGGAATCCGAGGGCATAATCGTCCACTTGCTATTTGTCCTATTAAAACCCCACATTTTGAACTTTTTCAATTGTTCACAATGTGATTTAGATTGAAAGGCTTAACTGTAATATGCACAATATCTACACCACAATTGTTGGCAATGTAAATCTTAAGTCCCAGGCTCTTTTCCCAGTGCAGCATACAATATACTTTTTAAAAGAGACATTAAAAAGTGCAAATGACACACTGGTTCAAAGTGAACTATTATATGTAAAGCAGAATAGGATCAGACACAAAGTGCAGTTATATACTGTACAGTGAAATAAAACACTGCTTATTGTAATAATATGTGGAATGTAAACAAATGTATGTGCTATAAGAAAAATTAATGATGAATGGTCTGGATTTATCAGGTCTTTAAAACCACTCATCATTCAACCATTCACACCTCATTCATACAGAGCATTTTGCTCAAGTTAGCTAACATCACACACATTCTCCCACCGTTGGTCATGCTATTGGGAGCAACTTGGGTTTAAGTATCTTACCCAAGGATACAGCGACATGTTGACTGCAAGGGACTTTGGGTTAAAACTGTCCCAGAGTCTGGTACTCTTGGTCCGGATTTAACCAGGGTTATAATCAGTGTATGAAAGCATTTTTTTCAAACCTTGGCAATACAGATATTCTTTTGTTATTGAAGGCCCTGTCCAAAAAAACACAATGCCTGATTTTATGATTTTAACATTTTGTTAAGTTACGCACATAAATAGAAATTTCACAGAGCTTCTTTTTCTATTATAATTATAATAATAAGAATGATATTTGACTTACATACCGCTAAGACAGGATACTGTTGAGTCTTTTTTTTTAAACCAATTTCCCGCCTAAAATGATTCATAGTTATTTCTAAGACAATTCAATCTGTGTTTCAATATGACTTCATTTAGTTTGAAGTAATATATCCATAAAACAAAGAAGGAAGGTCGTGTTGCATTTTGTAGACCTGATTTATTGTTAATATATTGGAACGTCAGTTTAAATGTAAAATCAGACGGTGTATGAAATCACATCTCAGGGTAAAGTAATGGCAGAGTTTTGCAATAAAATCACAGCCAATCAGTAAACACTATTTTACAGAGTCCTGTTACTTCTGCACTTCCGCTGACCTGAACCCCCCTCTCCAGTCTGTGGCGTCATGTCCAATCTTTGCTCAGTCAAATGAATGCAGAGGAAAAATAACTAGCAACTTTCAGGCCCTAATTATTTAGAAAAGAGATATTAAGTATTCGTATTGGGTTACATACGTCTCTTTCTCATTGTAAATCGAAATGAAAAGGGCCCTATTCCACTTCTTTGGGGTTTCCCTTCGTGTATTGTGTTCTATAGGTTTTAGTGCATGTAAATGGTCTGCAAAGGCTAAAATCTCAAAGCTCCCTCCAGTGGAAGTTTATCTCCCAGACACTCCCCCCATAGCCTGAAACGCCTCGAATCGACTCAAATCACTATGTAACACTCGCGCTTCTATAGGCTAGCGCTCCAACACATTGTACGTGATAGGCTAAGGGTACCCATACCTTACTACATGGCTGATTGTGTCTCAAAGAAAATGTGCGCTGCTATGGTCTGAAACCTACTTCTAGCAGGCGGCCCATGTTAATATCACAGCCTCTGAGGGTGAAGTTTATTGCGCTGACAGTTATGCAATATTGAATATTATTGGAGAAACAGGATGTGGAAGACTGAACATATGAGAGCGGACAGCTGATTAAGCATTTACTAAGTAATTGGGAGCAAGAAGGATATGAGGATGAAAAAGAAGTGACTGCACATTTTGTGAATGTTGACAAATGAAGAGGAGCCAAGAATAAATGGAAATGAAAGAGAGCGTTTCCTGTATCATTTAGTGACTTCCTGCAGAATCATGAGGAAGTGGAAGAGCAGAGCAATGGGAGGATGAGAAGTAAGGAGCGAATAATACTGATGTTGCTTCAGTGCTTTAAGGAGAGATGCATGGGGGAAAGAAAGTTACAAGATGGCATTTTGTACAATTAAGAGCACTTAGAGAAATAGGAGAGAAAGGAGGAGTATTGCCAGAAAGGAGGAGAGAAACACTTTGCCCAGCATTCACCTTGAAGAAAAAGTTGTTTGATAGACGAGTTAACATCACTGTAATACAAACGGTTAAAGAGGCAAAACACAACTCTTTTTCAGTTGTTTTCAATGAGAAGAGATCTTCCAGTTGAACATATATCAACTATAGACCTATAGACTACATACCTCACTGTAGAAACTGGTGATGAAGCTTGATATTGACTTGGTCTTTCAGATGGAAACTATCATAACAAAGACCTAAAGACAATTTGTTTAGGCGTATAGCCCGGTTAACACTGGACAGTGCTGCCGGTGATTGTTGGACTTTCATCGCCTTACATGTACATGTGTCCTACTCGCTCTACAGCCATGAGCTATGACAAACTCATTCATACAAAGTGCGAGAACAAGAAATCCAGTTTGTACTCATAAAAGATTTCAAAAAAGTACAAGTGAGCAGAAATAAATGATAAAAGGCAAGGAGCAGAAGTTAGTCTGTCATACAAGAGCAGTGATTGTTTGCCAGGATATCGTTGTCATCTATCCATTCATACACCCATCCATCGTCAACCACTTATCCAGAGTGGGTTCTCGGAGGTAGCAGTTCCAGCAGAGGGCCCAAACTTCCCTTTCCCTGTCCACACCAACCAGCTCTGACTTGGGGATTCCAAGGCGTTCCCAGGCCAGTGTGAAGATACAATCCCTCCACCTGGTCCTGGGTCAGCCCTTCAGTTTCCTCCCAGCTGGATGAGCCTGGAACACTTTCCTAGAGAGGCAGCCAGGAGGCATCCTTACCAGGTGCCCAAACAACCTCAAATGGCTGCTTTCTAGGTGCAGTGGCTCTACTCCTAGTCCCTCCCAGTATGACCAAACGTCTTACTTTATCCCTAAGATGCCAGCCACCCTCCGGAGAAAACCCATTTTGGTCGCTTGCATTCGCAATCTCATTCTTTCGGTCATGACCCATCCTTCATGCCCATAGGTGAGAAACGTTGTCATACATTTTGTTTGTTGAAAAAAGGGCTGGAAGAAGGCTCTGCCCAGCGCCCTGCATGAAGAAAGACTATGTGGACCAAAGGCCTACCATTGCGATGTCAATTTAAATTCAAATAATAGATCAGCACTAGAACTAACTATTTTAAAGTGCATCTAACTCCAGGATAAAAAGAGGTTAGTGTGAGATTGAAAGAGTGCAACAGGTGATGTGAGGATACATTGGT